TACTATAAAGAGATCAATGCAAATGTAATTGGATCAGCAGAGTAAGAGTTGTGGTATCCTAAGCAAACAGAGCCAGTGGTAGCATCACTGCAATGTGAGGAAAAAAGCCACCAGAAATTACAAAGAATGAGGCAGAGCAAGTTGGTATTGTGGGAATAGGGCCTAAGATCGCACATCATCAAAAGAAAGTAGTGAAGAATAAAACAGTGTCAGAGCATGACGCAGCAAGATCTGATATGGTCAGGATGCACAGGACATAGGAAGCAGGCGTTCGGACAGCATGAGGATGTATGAATACATATAATATAAAGTAGGATGCGGTGTATGTGCAACATCTCATTCTAGGTAACAGTTAGCCATTTTAGTATTCCATGTATCAGACAGACTTGACATACCAGACGCAGATAATAGGTTTTGCTGAAGTAGATCAGATGCGATTACCAGTATAGGATGGAGAGATAGAGGGTAGCAAAATCAACTGTAGACTGTTGAGGAGAGTAAAGCAACTTCTAGGAGAAATAGCAGGAATCCTTGGCAATTGTGTACTGCAAACCATGTTCCCAACTGTCTGTTGTAGGAAAAATATGAACGCCCAACTGTGCTAATATTAAAAGAGACTAGAACAAAAGTGGAGAAAAAATAAGGATCAACATTATGAGATATTGGGAAGAGGGGAAGATGGTCTCAAGAGGGTATACCTGAAGAGAGAAGAATAGAGAAGCATTACAAAGTGATAAGGGGATAAGACATGATAGCTTGAACCTCCTCCTAGGTGAAGACTAGGCACAACATGTTGTAAGAAAGGTTGTGCTTTCGAGGTCTTCCCAAATAGGCATTAAAGTTCAATCACTGCAGGTGTAGTGGAGATAGTTGATGGTAGTGATCGAAAGCTTTATTTATTTTATTTATTTTATTTTTTTATTTTTTTTATTTTTATTTTTATTTTTATTTTTAATGTTATATTTTTTTTTTATATTATGTATTCATTGTTAAGGTACAAGAACTCTGATATAGCTTAAGCAATGGCATAAACAAAACCATAAAGCACACATCTCTTCTCCATCTTGAGCAAAGTCTAAGAGCTCTAAGTCCGTCTGATATGGATCCAACCACACATCTCCCCCTGAATTAAGCCTATCCTTATAACACAATTGAACTAAGTTCTAAGAGAAACTCAAGCCAGGACAAGTAGAAAGGTACAAGAAAAAATCTCACCAGAAATCGCAGCCTGAAGATACAAATAAAATCAACCCAATACCTACCAGAAATGCCCACAGCAGGCTCGGTAGCTGGCTGAGCTAATCCATGAAGTCACCCCTGATGTGGCAGGTCTACTGGAAATGAGCAGTGCACCAGCACAGGTGGCCGAAGGTAGAGAGTAATGCTGACTGGTCAGAGACAGTGGAATACCAACTGGTAGAGAGGGACAGTAGTGGAGCTCCTAGGAGGAGGAGAATGGGAGTAAGGTGACATGATCAGCCTTACCCTACATGGATTTGGATAGTAGTAAGGTACTAGCTGAAAACAGAGCAGTAGGGTACTAGCCAGGTAATATGAGAGACAGAAGAGTGCCAACTAACAGAGCCAAGGTGAGGAGAGAAGAGGAGTAGACCTAAATGTGGAAGCAGCTATCAGACAGAAGTTCACATCAGAACTGGGTGGCCACCTTGATTTACCTATACTTCTATGTATATTCCCATTTCTCTCACTAATTGTAATCAGACTGTAGGAAGTACAATGAGGATTAGCTCAACCAATGACCATACCGATAGCAAGATATTACTGCTATAGGAATGGTGGTAGACCAGTATCTACTGAGTAGAGGTACTGTTAGTTAGATACCTTAGTTGTATATGCTGTGCTGTACTGAGAAGTACATAGGTACTAGTAAGGAGCAGTTGTTATCCTACTCGATAGGATAATACAAGTTGTCAATTTAGGAGTTACCTGGAATTGCTAGACAGTAAGTCTGGGTAGAGTTATCCTAATTTCGGACTGGAGTTACCCTACCTTGTGCCATGGGTTACCCTACTCTGAAGTCATGTTTCCCTACCTAGAAAGTAATATGTTACGCAGCGCTTCAGGAGAAGTTACTAAATTGTTTATCACACAAAGCTCTATAGGATGTTCAAATCTCAGGTTGTGCCAATTACTCCTGCACATCCAATTGAGCTCTGAACAAGCACTAACTTGCAGGAATGGAGGCTACCACACCCCTCTGGCCCTATTATTAGTTTCTAGCATCATGGGCTACGGCCTAGAATGTTGCTAGAAGTCTAGTAAATGTCAAGGGGTGGAGACTCTCCAGCAACACCATATACAGTAATGCCATCCAGTAGACCGAATGCTGTCTGCACTGTAAGGTAGGGGGTAGAGGAGAACCTGGAGAATGGTCTTGAAGTTGTTTTATGCAAAACGGACCAGAGCCGATGGAGTAATACCATTGTTAAGTTAGAAGTAGTATTAAACAATCGTTAAGGACTCTAAGACTCTATGCTGAGGCCATAATGAGACCTACCTCTAGGTGTGTTGACTGTGAATAGTTCCTATTAGTAGTCAACCTACAAAGGGGTTTAGAGGTGAGCAAGATGGCTATAATCCGGAATGAGATAAAATGGAGTAGAACTAGATAGATGTTCAGGAGCTCCAGATACTTGTAAAAGACTAAGTATAAAGGGGTACAGAGTTCTATAACTGGTACTACATTCACTTGAGCATGTCAGCTCACCATGGTCATGTCCATAATAAGAAGAGTTTTCATTCCTGTAGTTTTATTGTAGATGCAGTGACTAAAACACTTCTGACCGGTAGATATTGTATTAGTAAACCACACAGTAGTCATGTTCACTATAGAGGATCTTTGGTCCGACCTATGGAGGTTGGCTAGACAGCTCTAGGAAGTTGAGTGCTCATGAATGCATAGTAGTAATGAGGACCAACTGGCTCTATATGAAATCTATATAAGTATCTGCAGGTTCTCCTCTACTTTAGCAATAAACTACCTCTCAAGATCCGGACTTGATTAAGTACAGCTATGGCTTAATGATCTTAAGTTTTATGGTTTTGTTTCTTCAAACACTACTGCTGAGATGTTGATATTTTATTAAATTTATTCTCAAAAGAATTCATCTTGGTGCAGTTGTAACCTCAGCATCCATCTTCACAGAGGGAGTTCCTGTTGCAGTATTCCCTTGTGCTGGGAGAGACAGCATTACTTAGTGGATAGAATACCACTACCAGTAAACGGTAGAGAGGAGGAGGGTGGTGGAATAGACTGTAGTCTTTTGAGGAGACTAAAACAAACTCACCACCAGGGATAGTTTCGCACCCAACCAAAGTTAGAATCATTTCAGACCTTGGTATTAGGAAGGATGAGAGACCATTATAATTGTGTACCACAAACCATGTTCTCAGCTGTCTGTTGTAGCAAAAATCTGAAAACTAAGTAGTACTCAAATTATGTGAGGCTGTAGCCCAAGCAGAGTAGAGATGAAGATGTTAGGTAGAGACAACTTGTATAGATTCAGAGTTGTCTATGCCAATCAATATTTGTTTCTGTAGATCGAGATTATCTGGGAAGGTGCATTTAGAAGTCATCTGAGCTTTGAGTTCACTGAACTCTGTTGCTGTATTTATTCTGAAAGATTGTACAGGCCTAATACAACCTTTGGATATTGCAATCAATGTATCTCTCAAAAATAACCTCCATGCTATGATTAATATGAAGGTAAAGAGAGATTTGCACTATTGGTATAATACAGTAGAGTTTAAGAAAGAAACTGTCACAAGTGAGTGGAGAATATTACTGACTCACAGTATATTAAAGGTATTATCACTAATGTACTATACTTGAATCTACTAACTTTATGTTTTAACCTTTGGCTTGTGAGAAATTTCGCACTGAAAAGAGTCATCTTTTTATTCTTTCATTTGAGCGCACAGCCATTGCACTCCCTCCAAATGTGTCATAATATCATAATATCAAGATTGAGGCCTTGGAGTGAATTGCAGAAGAAATTGGAGAATGGAAGAAAGGTGGATTGAATTGTAACCCGGGCAAGGCACGCACAACAAGAGTTAGAATACTTGGAGAAGATGACTGGTCTCTTTTGCTTTAGAAGCTTGATTGTGCACATTTTTGTAACACACCAGTGCCAGAGCAACAACAACAGCTTACCACAGACACAAATTCTGAGGTGAGAATGAATGATCGTGGTTCATATCTGGCAGAGGGGGGGACTTGAGATTGATTGGAGAGTTTATTTTCGAGTACTGTACTATAAAAACATTCAATTTACCGCTACTAGGCTTGGACATCACTTAACTATTTTCAGCTAGGCTTGGGTAAAGGTGGGGGGGCTACTGTCTTGGGGGGGGCGCTATCTGGGGGGGGGATTGCCAAATTGTACGGTACCAGAATTCATAGCTATGATACTAGTACTTCAGTAACAAATATTCTCGTTATGGGATTCAAATATTTAATGCCCCCGATAATGGTTTTTTGGGAACTGTGCGATACATATAACCCTCGTCTGTCATTCATTCCTGCAAATCATCAACACCACCAAAAGTAATCGACTTGATGATCGTGTATTCATCAATGCCGTATTTGCTGCCCTCTCTCCCGAAGCCACTCTCTTTCACTCCTCCGAAAGGTGATGCAGCATCAGAGATTAGGCCAGTGTTGACACCCACCATGCCCACTAGGCGCCAAAAGGTTAGGTTATATCTGGAAGAAGGGAGCCAGGAATAAACATACCTTCGAGAGCCTCTGCAACCCTCCAAATCCTAGCAATATCACTACTAAAGAAGTATCCCGCCAAACCAACCTCGGCCTCATTTGCCAGGTTGACCACTTCCTTCTCCGACTTGAACCTAAATAGGGCCGCAACAGGACCAAAGGTCTCCTCTCGGTGAATCCTCATGTCACTAGTCATATTTGTGATGACCGTAGGCTCATAGAAGTTGGGCCCAAGGTGGCCCAAACCCTTCCCACCGGTGAGTACGGTAGCTCCCTTCTTTAGAGCATCTTCGACGTGGGTTTGGACTTTTCCGATTGCCCTCTCGTGAATCAATGGACCATGAGTATTCTCCAAGTGATGGAAGAGAAATTAACCTACACTTAAAGCTCTCTTCGTCACAG